GGAGAATGTAGTCCGCAGGGGTCCAACCTCTTGGGGGCGGAACCTGTAGCTGGACTGCCAGGCAAGGGGCAGCCTGCGCGCGTGCGTGAAAGCGCGCCGCGGAGCTGGTCCCAATGTGGTCAGGGTGGGGTTAGTGTGTGCGGTGGCCCCAGCTCAGTAAATTGTGCGTCCCGAGGGTCAAAATTATTGAGCGAAACTTTGTGCATAGTTATGCTCCAGCCTGCGCGTTGCTGGATTGTGAAAGGCCACAAAATGCTTGGGTTGTGCGCTATGCCGGCCGCGGTCCTGGTTCACCAGCGCCCCTGTCTGTCCCTGAGCTCCAGTGCGTCTGTAATTTGCGGCGGTGGGAGGTAGAGACCAGGGGTGAGGGTCTGTTTTGCCTTCTCACTGTATTGCCCTGTGGTGGTGATGTTGCGGGGGAGCGGGGTGGGGGGGATCTGTCTGTGATTCATTGGTGAGTGTTTGCCCGGCCAGGGCCTCGCTAAACAAACAGCGGTTGGGTTAGACACTGTTCTGCCCAGTGTTTGCAGTGCAACGGGGGCGGGTGCGAGCGAGAGGGAAGGAGACTTAGTGGAACAAAAGGGAAGAGATCCCACACCCTCGGTCACCACAAACCTGGCGGGGCGAACTGCCCATAGCCAGCCATGAGAAGCAAGCAACGCTGCATGGGGTGGCAATGTGGCTGAGAGCGACCTGGGGGACCTACTCGGGTGTAACTGCTTCTCCGCCGCGTACTTCTTGCTCACTGCCTTCCTTGGTCCAAAGAAAAGCCACACCCCCACCCAGAGTCCCCAAGTCTCCTCACTAGCCTCCTCTAGCCTTCTGGCAGGGGTTGGTGGAAGGAAGGCCCAGCCAGGGTCCTTCAGCCTAGGCCTGGCTCTCGCCCACCTGCTGCTGCGGCTGGCAAAGAGAGGCGGTCATCTCGGCCTCTGTGTGCCCTGGGCGCGGACATCCATTGGCTCTTTCTGGGACCTAAATTCCAGGTCTCCGGCTCAACCTAGAGACCTTCGGCTGGAGGGAGAAGCCGCTGTGGAGCAAGTGACGAACCACCTCCGAGGCCAGTTTTCCGGAGAATAAGACGTCCGCCAACTTCGCTATTTGCACTGGCGAGAAGGGCGCTGAGCGTTCACCCAAGCGCAGCCCGGTGTCTCTTTCTTTCCCTTTGTGTTTCCGAGCGGCCCGACACACGACAGAGGCCGGTCGTGCGTCGAGATTGCCGCTCCGCCCAGAGTTAGCAGAGGAGAGCAAAGTTGGAAGCGATCGGCGCGCTTGGGATGTGATTGTCATCCTGGGGCCTGTTCTCCAGAGTCTGAGAAAGAGAGGAGAGGAAGAGTCAGGGAGGGAGGAGGGGGAGGTCGGGCAGAGGAGGAGAGGGGGGCGGCGGAGGAGAGGCGGGGGCTAGGG